TAAATTATATTTGATTATAGAACTACAGCATTTCGGAAACTGGATTCTTCAAGTAGAAAAGCCTATATGTTGGGCTGCTTGGCTGAGCTCCAGCTCTGAGGTTCAGCCAGACGGCTTAACAGATAGGCTTTCTCAGCCTTGAACGTGTAAGTAGAATCCAGAACGTTATAATTGTATAATTTTATAATTAAGACCGATGGATAGGGCATAAAAGAACAATTTTACACACCCCTGCTCTAACTGTAATTTGTAGGTCGAGTTTAATTTTGGCCAGTGTTGTATTCAATACGGATTTAATTAAACCGATAAACCATAACTACAATGCAAAATCTCCACTGTCATCAGCAGAATTTCGTAATGTGCTGAGAAATATCTGCGCTGTTAATTAGTATATTAACACGTAACTAGCAATTACTGTTTTGACATAAATGTCCTATATATTTCTGGGATAAAAGGAACAGATTTGAACATTTATAATATCTGTGTTAGGAAGTAATCGATTTCTGAAACCTGTGTTAGGCATGAAACACATTACGAAATATAGGAATAAATAATTGTATATTGATCCTACAGGAATGGTACATAGGCCTACGTCTATATAGGCTACAGAATCAGGCTAAAGTCATTAACATTCATTCATTCATTTGTAGAAGCACGTGAGTCCACCTCTTTTAGGAAATGAGCTATTGCTACCACGATAATCAACAGGGTCAAATACATAATTTACCACAAGAATCACATTGGTCCAATCCCTTACTCTGCGTGGGTAACTTTTTAATAGTCTGTTTTCCAGCAAAACGACATGAGTCTTGGACTCGTGTTGTTTTGTTTCTGAACAACGTAGAAACCACCTAATCACACAGCACTTAAATGGGTCTCCCCAGCAGTTACAAAAGACACACAACCACATGAGTCATGCGATTTGCTTTTTGCTTAGATCCCTGTACGAGCAATGTTGCAAAAGATGTTATAAAACTATAACTGTATCAGGAAATTAATGACTTGTCAATCCAATCTTAAAATACGTAAGCCTAGCGTGTTTAATAATATATTTTGTTAGTTTTCAGGGAAGTTAAATTTGTGGACTCTTGTCGTTTTGCAAATGATCGATTTATTTAAACTCCGCGGTTATGAAAACATATGGGATGAGTGGAGGGGAATAGTTTATATATATAAATTAGGCAAGGTGGGTCTGAAACCACTTCTCGACGTCGTGCTTTCCCTGGAATGGCCTCTTCTCCTCAGGCTTACCAACGTCATATTGCTCATACTTATCATCTCTCCAGTGCGTGCTGCATGCTTTGTCAATCTCATACTTGATTTCATCATCAAATATTTGATAAAGAGTACAAATTATGGAGTGTTTCTTTTTTTCGTGATTACGTCATCTGGGTTTCCTCCACATATTCGTACAATACGCAATTTTTTTAAAAAAAACTAACGTGGACTCGTCTGTCATGACGTGTTACTATAGTTGTAAATTATGGACGCCACAAACTCAACGCACACTGTTGGAGGGGTTACGTTAGAGAATATGATGAATCTCTGGGGGGAATAAGGATGGTTATTGCTTGAAGGTTGGAGGGTCCCTGGAATCGGTGTGAGCTTTGGAGGAGGGAGGGATTGATTCAAACCTGCTTTGCAGTTCCCTGGTCTCCTACAAATACAAAATTGTTCAGGGAGGAGAGACAGGGGAACATTAAGTTGATTGGTTTTTTCTGTGAGTGAGGGGTTCAAGAGGGAGGGAAATATTCTGTAACTAGAAGACGTAATTTTATTTTCCTGCCACGGGTCTGATTTAGAAGGGCGTGTGACGTTTCCTACGTTGGTAACGCTGATTCGATGCACGCAGAGATAAAATATTTAGCCTCCTACTGCGTCCGCGCGTTAAATTGGGTGGTTTCTTGATGATTAAATGGGCACTAAGTACAGTAACACTCGACCTTTTTCACCTCATTGGCTCAGTGTTGTATGCGTCTTTTTCTTTTCTGTAGCCATGTTAGGTTTCCTTGTCTGCGTTTATATATTGCTTCGGAATCATATCTGTTTTTTAACAGGACCGAAAGTGGCAAATCAGCATTCTTTTTATGGGATCCCATAGGTTGGATTCTGAGTCCGAAAACTAAATTTTTCTCATTTTCTTCAGACCCTTCAGGCTTGCTTTGAAATATTCTACAATAAATTTTCTTTCCACCTTTTAATTTCAACAACCTACGTTTTCCCGTTCCCCGCTATATATATATATAACACGAGCAGTTGTAAAAATATCAAATCAGCTGAAAAGATGCAACACCGTTGTCGTGATTTGCCCTCATGATGGAGGGAGAAAGCATCTCTTAAACGTTGGTAAACTTCTACCAGATTGATTACACAGGGCTACAGCCCAGAATACAGCATCTTTGTACTCACCGCCGTGAGAAGCAGAAATTTTACCCAGACGTAGTCTGACGTCACCATTTGTCAATAAAACACTCTCACGGAACGCTTTCGTGCAGTTGCATGTCGTATCATGTCGCCGCCCACTGCCAATTAATGATGCAATTATTATAATCATGTGGTTTAAAATAACTTCAAATCATCATATATTTTCCAAAAGTTGCATATTCTCTTAGGTCAGAGATGCTTGTTACGGTGTGTAGTGATTAAGTGTGTCTGATGTTCCCACACAATTATATTTTCGTGGACAATATTCCACTGAAGACTTTAAATCATGCACATCAGATCTTTTATGGGCATGTACCGCCTTTGTTTTTAGATTGTGTTCGAACTGTCAATGACAGTGTCAGTAAAATTATGTACACAGGTATTGTAGTTTGTTTTAGGTTAGGTTATAGTCGTGAAGGAAGTGTTATATATAATGAACTGCATTAGGATTCAGGAATGTAATAGAAATAGGAGTGCAGATTTGTTTACAGGTTAGTCTTGGAAAATAATTGGAAACTTTCCACTAAGATACAAATTTTCAAGTAAATGTAGGCAGGCATACTGTTTTTTGACTGAAATGAATTTTATTGTTCAGGCTATACTAAAACTGATTATTTCTTTAGTACTTCTATTTGAACTTGAGCTTTTCCTTGCTATGTCCACATTTTATAACCAGTTAGCTATTGTTATTAACTAAACATCTGTATCCTACCAGAATTATAACAAAACAAGTTGTAATTAAATGCTGACTTAAAATAAGTACTAATTGTGAATGACTGATATGATTAGTATAAATTGACCACTTAACAAGAATTGTGTGTACCACATATGAAAACCCATGTTTAAGACATTGAGGTTATGTAGGATGCATGAGAAAACAAGAATGCAAAGCAAAGTTTGTGGCTAAATTTTAAAGATAGGGACAAAAATGGAGTTGGAGAGTAACTGAGGTGTTATTGTTGGAGTTTCATCAGAATAGGAAGATACCGAGGATGTGAACTAGCTGAAGACGATCTAGCGGCGAGCTGTTGTAATGACGAACCTGTAGGTTTCAGATCGATAGGCAACTTATTGAATAGATAAATAAATTCAGTTGTCATGTCAGTAAGAACCTGTTCAAGGCAGTTTGTCATTTCTATTTCTGTTTTTTAATGCAGTAATACCTGTTTTAAATTCACATTGACACATTAACATTTTTTAATTTCAAAACAGGTTCCCATTTGACTTCTAAATAAAAGTAGTTCATAGTCTGAGAATGATGCTTTATTGTTAGTGAATTTTAATTTTTCTGTAGAGTGTCGAATATGCACCCAAGAAAGCTGTAATAGAATTTGAAAAGGCTGGAATTAAATAGCCTAGTTTATGATTAAATATTTGAAGGAGATTATAAATTCCTTATAGAATAACACAGAAGTTCTTTTATAGGCCAGTAGGGAAGTTAGTTTAGAAATTAATATCACAAACCAAAATTAATAAGTCATAATTAATAAATAATTTGAGAATGTTTAAAAATGTGTCTGTGAGTGATATTAAGACACAAACAAGTCATTTGGTGAAATTAATGCAGTTAAACGACTCTCATCATGCCGTCTCCTTTCCAAAATGCTGATTAAGTTTCATGAAACAGTAATTCTTCCATTTCTTTTGTGTGGATGTGAAACACAGTTTCTTATTTTCAAGGAAGAACATAAATTACAAGTTTTGGAAAAAAAAAAACTAAACACTCAGGAAGATATTTGGTCCTCAGAAGGACAAGGAAGTGAGCAATTTAGGGTATTACGTTGTAAGTAGCTTTGTGATTTATGTAGTCCACTAAACTGTTCTGCACATATTTTGATGTTTTGGAATATTTTTTCTCAGGTAAAGCCCAAGTATATTACTGAACAAAATTGTATGCACAGAAAGCAAGTATTCACGCAGAGATGACTTGTATTCTGGGTTGTATCGCCAGGTAGTCTGTTGAGTGTTTACCGACGTTTCAGAGGACCTCGCTGCCTCCATCACCAGGCCAATGGGTCGCCCTGATGATGGAGGCAGCAAGGATGTATGAAATATTGGTAAACTTTTACCAGACTACACAGCGCTACTACCCAGAAGCCATCTTCATGCTTGGTGCCACGAGAACTTGAAATTCTTCAATGTATTCAGGCAGACCATTCAATAATTTCTTTGTCCTTTGCATTTTCTTGTGAATCAGGTTCAATTTATTATAGAAAATTTTACATTGGTGTATGTTCTCGGAACAGACCAAGAGAGATGAAGGGCAGATAGGAAAGTGGAAGATGGCAGACAAAATGCAAATATTGGTAAAAGGAGACAGTTGGAGAATCCTACACAAAAGTCAACCTTCAAGTTTGAAAATGACTTAGATGAGTAGAATAAGACATGTCATCAGGACCGGAGATATTTTTTTAAAAGCGCAAGCCTCAAATTTGTCTGTTTTACAGTGTAATGAAAGAATATAGGGCACACCTCAAATGTGGTCCAGAAATGAGCCATCTTTGATCATGAATGTTAGAATATTCTTGTAGATATGTGAACTCATCGCTTACTTCTTTCGTTTGAATTGCTTACAGACAGATTGTTCCAAGGGAGCCAGAGTCCAATAAAGAAAACACCTTCAGCGTCCAGGAGTGTGCCGGCGAGGGGCAAGATGTAGAATGGCAGGCTCTGGATGTGCTGGTGAGAGAAGCAAACTGTAGGCGGGAAGATAAAACTGAACTTGAGGTCGAGGAAGAACAGAGTCAAGATCTTTCTCCCCCACTGTTTGTTCTGAGGAACAAGCAGGGTTTCGCTGCGGTAGAGAGGCCTTTGCCGAAGTTACTGTCTATAAGTATGAGCGACGGTAAACAACAGCAGTCACCCGCAACACAGCCCCAGCAGCAGACAGCCGCAGTTCTTGACCAAAACGTGCAGCAAGTTCAAGTCCAGGTGAGTGTCCGGAAATCCTATCCACATCCCATCAGGAAACATTGTTTAAAGTTCTGTTTATTGTTTTGGATGTCTTCTGTCAAGTCTTGGCTCTCACGTCGGCCATTCCGATGTTTTATGGTCTTTCTCAGTCCTTATAGATTAAAATCCAAACATCATCTAGAATTTGCTCTGTCTATTTAAGTTATAAGAAGGCAGCGACAAAGATTTTGTAGATGCTTGATGTTGGTGGACTGAGGACTTTCCTATGTTTAAACCTTGATCCAGAGACCAGCTATCCCTTTATTTCTAACAGGGATGGACAGTTTTATCCTGACCTTTGTACATTAAATTAGGCCACAACTGCTTCCTTGCAGTTTGATATTCGAATGCTGTGTAGTGTCAGTTGACATCTTTAAACATACGACGAATATAAAATACAACAAAAACACAGTGATGATGGTGTTAAGTGAATGCATGTACATAGTGTTATAATGTAAACAGGAGACTTTGTTCTGTTCTGGCCTGAAACTTCATCTGCTATTGACCAATGAAATCAAAATTAAGTGTTTGTTCTTCAGGGTCTCTTACAGTATTATGTTCGAGGTGATAAGATGCTGGTTTTTATATACAAAGACCAGGATTCAGTCTAGTTGTAGTTTATTTTGGATTTGTAGTAGTTAGAATGGCGCTGAGAAAATTTTTCTATCCTCGTACTAATACAACCTGAGTGTGGCCATTGCACGAATGATACATTCCCCTTGTATTGCATGTGTCGCATTAACCGCTGCACACTACAGCAAACTGCAGGATGATACATAATATCTCATTTAACTCTGTGACAGTTTATTGGTCATTTTGTCCATCTGTGTGTTTTTAAGGATATATCTATCAAGGCAATGAAGAATTTTTGGTCACAGGTCCAGATGACTCAGCAGCAAGCACATGATGGTACTGGAGGAGTGCAGCAGCCGACGCAGTCGCAGCCTCCACCGGGGGCAACTGGTCCACCTCAACATGTGGTGCAGCAGCAACAGCAGGTGGCAGTATCGCACCAGCAGCAAGGTACACCCACGGGGGTGACTGTGGTTTCATCAGGCGTAGGAGGGGCCCAGTGCATGCAGGTCCCCAGCTCCAGTATACAGATGCAGCAGCAGGTAGCTCAAGTACCACTGTATATTTACTTCTATAGCTTGTAATAGATGTGAATCCTATGTTCTATGGCGCAACAGCCCGAAATCGAGCCTTGGCCTACTCCCATGTGGGAGGTTTCTTTGTCTTTTGAAGTGTGCGTCTGTGAGTAGTGAGTGACAAGCCCACGGCCTCTCCGCATTTTCTACTCAATCCCTATTTGACTGCCAGAGCCATCTAGTAGTGAATCAGTAGAGACTTGGGTGAGAAATGGCCGCTGAATTTTGCTTGCGAAACATCTCATTTCATGCTTGCAAGGTTCTCTTACGTGCCGTAAATCTACGACTTGGGACCGCCGGCTTTACTTCCCCTCCGAAGGAAGTCGTGCTTCAGATTTTTATCACCCCTAAAATCCATAGACCTCAGCCTTCTTCAGAGGTCTTGCTGCCTCCATGATTAGGGTAGATTGCAGCAGGGATCTCAGAAACATTGGTAATCTTTTACCAGACTTTGTGGAATTATGGCATTACATGTCAGAAGACAGCCATCTTCATACTTTGATGGCATTTATAACTGGCAAAGGCGCTCTGGGCAGGATTTCTTGTTATCGATCACTAACGTTTGTATTACGACCAACAGCAACAACAGCAGGCACAGCAGCAGGTGGCAGCAACAATGCAGGCTCAAACGGCGATAGCCCCAGCTCCCATGCCGTCCCAGTCGGGCACAACCACCATCACCACTATGTCGACATTGCACCAGCCCTTGCAGCATCCTATGCCACCGCCCACACCTCAACCCCTGGCACAACACCCAGGAGTGCCCCATTCTGCCCAGATGCAACAGGTTTCTGAATGGGGACATGGCCGGGTAAGTGACCGTGGGGTTACGTTATCTATGATTTGAAGCTTTGACGGCGACGTAACTCAATAAAATGTTCTGGCAATCAGCCACGTGTACTGGTTAAAAGAAGAAACTGATGTTCCAGGGACCACCTCTGTCCCTGAAATGTCAGTTTCTACTTTTAACCAATTGATGGGGGACATCATAACCCTGGCCGTGGGGACAGAGATGGTCCTTCAAGCGTTGTTTTCTTCTTTTAACCGGTTGAGACGGCTGATCACCTGAGAAGATTTTATTGGGTTACATTATAGCTTAATACACAAGTGAAAAATTGTTGGCCATCATGGAAATTGAACTGAAATTCCCAGCTTGGAATGTTCATGTCCATTACTCATTTATATTTGTTTTACTTACATGACATTGTAACATACTGAACTGAACTATTTAGTTTGGTACAGAGGTGCTTGGAAGACTAGGTATAAATAGGAGGATAATATTAAAATAGATATTGAAGAAATAGGATGGGAAGTTGCAGGCTGGATTCATATGGTTGGGGGTAGGGGCTGGTGCTTGACTTTTGTGAACACAGTGGCAAACTTCTGTGTTCCTGATTAGTTGAATGACTGGTAGCCTCTCAAGAAATACTCTGTCGCATGGTGTTAGTTTTTTTTTTTTAGTTATCAATCTTAGGATTGGTTGGCAGCCCCAATTCTGGGCCTTTTTCTTGCGAAGGTACCACGGTGGTTTTGCCTTGCCTTCCGTGGCCAGTCTTTATCCATCAGACTAGAAGGGGGACGCGGACAAACATCCGTGCCTTGAGTGGGACTGGAACCCACGGTCCCAGTAGCCATTCGCATGAGGTCCATGCCTCTGACCGCATGGCCGCTGCGGCCGGCAATGTTTTGTTAGGGACTAATAAATAGTAATAATTTAAATTTGTTCCTACCTTGATAATGTAATTTCTTTCAAGCATGTTAAACTTTGTTCAGTGCACAATTGTATCAACAACACTTGGCTTATTAATTGTAATTAACACATGGAATTATTCAATGAAGATCAGTGTTTTCATACTTGCCGCCATGGAAACCTGAAATCTCACCTGGTCATTACTTGATGATCATTTCAAGATGATATTAATTTATACTGGTCTCTAAGGAGAGGAAATGTTACTGAAGGTAAAAGATATTTAGAAGGTTAAATTAACCTGTTATTTACTTTTATGCTTTGCGATACCTTTCTACATGCACATCAAATAAATTTTTATGTGTTTGTTTTCGGTTGCTGTTGGTGGTTAGGGCTACTGCACATGTCTGTCTAATGGTATTAGAAATTAGGATGGATATAGTTCATTAATGAAGAATTTTCAAACAGATTGAGAAAGATTTAATAATCTTGGGTCAACTTTGAAGAACATACACGCGCAATGCAGGACGATTATTTAGATGAGAACCCAGAGTTATGAATGTCGATAATGTCACATTATAGAGGGCTGGGGCCATTTTGGCTCTGTCATGTACTATTCATTAGTATAGCGTGTAGTTATTTTCATTTTTACCGGTGTTGCGTAGTAAACTACATGATGTAAGTTTTGAGGTTTTCACAGTGGTGATTTTGAAGATTTCTGGTTTATTGCGCTGTGTAGTCTGGTCAATGCCCTGATAGCGGAGGCAGTATGACCTCTGAAACGTTGGTTAACATCAACCAGACTACACAGCGCAACAACCCAGAAGACAGAAATCTTCAAACTACATGATTCCTTCACTTCTGCATAATTTTCCCATCTTATTTAACAATATGGCACACTTTCATTTGGTGTAAATTAGGCAACGTCATATTGCAGGTGCAAGTGATCCAGCAGCCTCTGCAGAACCCCACATACCTTCAGCAGCTGTACAATACGCAGGGGCAGCTCTTGATGCCCAGCAACCTGCAGTTGCACCCAGCTGGAATGAATCCATCCTCAATCCATGTAAGTCTGACTTTTCCTCTTTTATTACATTAAAATTTCATATCCAACATTTATTTAGAATTATTTATAGTTGTGTCATATTTGCATATCAAGGAATTATATACCAAATCTACTCTGCAGAATACCTTATTTTTGCAGGTATGTTCCTCTGTGTGTATGGCGCAGCATCAGTGTTATTGAGACTGCAGAATATTTTATTATCCACCTTTAATCAGTAAATTATTCGGCATTTAATAAAATAGTAAAATGGACATTACGTTGTCTCCATTTATGATTTCTATCTTTCTTAAACTTTATGTGGAAAGTTTACTGAAGCAATTAATTTATTTTGTATACATTAGGGATATTGTATAATTACCGAAAGTTAGATTATTTGTAATTATTTCTCAGAATTTCAATCTTGGGGTCCGCAGTGGTGGCGTGGGTATTGTGCCGCCTGGTCGCAGGGACCGTGGGTTCGAATCCCACTCAAGTCATGGATGTTTTTCTGTGTTATGTTGTCCTGTGTACAGGTAGAGGCCTTGCGACGGGCTGATCACTCGTCCAAGGAGTCCTACCGAATGTCCATAGATCAAGCCAACTGAAAATTTGGGGACCCGTAAAGGGTACCGGAAGGTGTACAGACATTGTTAAACCGGAAAAAGAAGAAGATGATATGTAGTGGCAGTTTTCAGTCTAAAAACAAGAACATTAAACCCCTGAAGTTTGTCAGAATTATTCAAAACTTTTTTATTTACTGATTGGCCAAGTACCACGAAATCCTTCGCAACGTAACATCGTTAAGGACGCGTTCATTAGAGTCAGAATGAAAGATGTCCCCTTAGTTGTTGTTTTGATTGCCAAAACAGAGTCTGGGGACCTTGGCGAGTTTTCAGTTCACGGCGACTACCCCTACCAAATCAGGTGGCACTGCAGGTGGAACTTCTCTGGTGCCGGCCAAACTGACTGCAGCTGCATTACCATCCATGGCAGCACAGGTTACCCACCCATTCATATAGTTGCTTACCTCCTCTTATCACAGCCTGGCATTCCAGTGCCACAAGTGATGTCGCTTCTGATACTAATAAAGGCCATTTAATTTTGATCAGCAGTACAAATGTGAAAAACTGGAATGGTATTAATTTTTGATAAGTTTGCTCCTGTTTTAGAGAATATGACTGAGAACCAAAACAAAATATTTCTTTTTCCCCACCTCTCCATGAATTATATTGATTATAAAGTTTATCGACGTGAATTTGTGTTTAGTCGGAAATCAAAACGATCGAAGTTACACCGGTTGAACACAATCACAGGATTGTGATTATGCTTACGTGCTTGAATTTTCACAACTGCAGTTTGGTATTGCTTAAACAAGAAACTTTCGTTGCTGTTCTGAACTCTGTTCACAAAGCGAGATTTGAGGTTCTTACATTGTCGAGTGTGAAGATGGTTGTCTTCTGGGTTGCTGCTCTCTGTCATCTTGTAGAAATTTACTGACAATCAGAGGCCCTTGTTTTCTCCTTCGGAATATTAAACTTCTACCAGACTAGATGCCGCAGCAACCCAGAAGGCTGCCTTCTTCTGTTAACTAAACTTACAGAAATATAACTCAACACCCAAAAGAATGTGATTTAGTAATGTATTTAGGAGCCATTAATTAAAAATTTCATTGGTCCAAAAATGTTCGCATCATAGTTAAACTGCTAGTTTTATATGCAAAGCTAGCAGACAGTCAGCATAGCAGTAAGATATCTGATTTGTTTTTGGAACAAACTATATTTTAATTTTGGCTTGATAAGCTATTTCTTATGAATTTCTGAAACTAAATACTTCCATGATGTAGGCCTTAACCGTGTCATCCTAAGACTCACTATTCATAACGATGCTCGCAATGCACACTCGATGTATTTAATTTCTGTAGTTAAAACTGAAACCGCCACAGTGGTCTAGCGGTTAGAACGCTGGCCTTGTAATCCTGGGGTCCCGGCGGTGCCCAAATTTATAACTTGTGTTGGGCAAGGCCGTGGTCTAGGCAACACGGAGTTTTCCTCCGGGGCTTCCCCGGTTTCTCCGTGGCATCCCAACAATTACTCCATTCACACACAGAAGAAGGCAATGGCAAACCACTTCTGGATCATCTGCCAAGAACGTATATGAACAGGTCCCAGTCCGAGAAAAGGATGGAAGGATCCTGTTCATAATATGTTGCCAACCTCCTGTAAAGGAGATGGCATAATAAAGAAGAAGAAGTTGAAACTGCATAGCTGAATTTCCAAAGACTGTAATTTTGAAGGTTGTCAAGCCTTGATAAAATTTTAAGATATTACTGGAAAAAAACAAACACATTTCAGCATCCAACTTCATTGTAAATTAATTAAAATGGCACTGGAATGTTGTTTTACCCTATGGCCGATACAGCAAAATCCTGTGCACAATTTGCTGGGAGTTTTAACTATCAAGGGCTGCTTGTAGTTATGCCTCCTGTATCTGGGGCTTACTGTGGTGAAGCGTCACTCGAGTCTTCCCATACAGCACAGCCGCAACTTACACGTCCTGTGCCCAGGATAATATTTGTCTCTCAGTCGTTGGATTTGTATGTCTTGTCAAATTTTGACACGTATATTGTCAAGGTTTAGAAAATCATGGCTAGAACTGTGTGGTGTTACCTGTTTTTTTGTATAAAGCAACACTATCTATATTGGGTACCATTTCTGAAAGATGTGTATTATTTCTGGGTTGAACCTGCTGATCATATCATCTTCACAGAATTGGAGTTCTCTTATTATTGTGCATCAAAAGAATTGCAACATTATTACGAGGTAGAAGGAAATGTAGGCATAGGACAGAGCAGTGTGTGCTGTGGTAGAACTGCTTGTTTATGGAGGTTTGAAGACTTGTGCTGCGGATGCTTGGATTGTAGATGGTGGTTGATTTGTTGGCTCGCTTGGTTACATTGCATTGCACTGGTTTGTTCTCGTGGCTTATATGAACTGAATATGTTAGCTTAAAACTTTGCATACCATGTAGTGTATTAGAATATAAAATAAGTAAACAAACAACTATTAACACTATAAAAAAGACACTATTGCCATACGCGTTTCAACCTCAAGAGGTCATCATCAGTGGCATCAAGGAAATTAATTCATTTAATCAAATGGTTTAAACTGGATTTAGAAATAAATAAGGTGTTTTACAAAAGTATTTCAAGTGACATTGCACTACATTTTGTTATTCACAGAGTAGAACTATGCGCTTAGCTATTGATCCGATGGTTCGGTGGCCGTAGCTGGTCTGCGGTGAGCTGTGGTTGCGTTGTCCGTACCTGTGAACTTCAGAATCGTGGGTGAGAGTCTCTCACCCACGATTCTGGAGTTCAATAGCTAAGTGCATAGTTCTACTCTGTGAATAACAAAATCTACTGCAGTATCGCTTGAAATACTTTTGTGAAACACCTTATTTATTTCTAAATCCAGTTTAAACCATTTGATTAAATGAATTAATTTCCTTGATGCCACTGATGATGACCTTGAGGTTGAAACGCGTATGGCAATAGTGTCTTTTTATAGTGTTAATAGTTGTTTGTTTGCTTATTTTATATTGAATATGTTAGCATCTATTTCCTTGTGCTCTGAATCTTTAAGGATCTATGAAAAATTATTAATTACAAAGTGACAGCTAACAGAGGTATGTTTAATATACAGTGTCCCAAAACTGTGTATACGCATAACCATTATGTACATAAGCATTGTGTATACACTTTATGGGACATTCTGTTTATGTCTGTTTCCTTCTTAAGGTGATTGGTTGTCACAAACAAAACATTGTGCAATACAATGTTATTTTTTTCGTTGGAACCAATTTCATTTCACTTTAAAGCAGATTGGCAATCCTGATCAACCCATGCAGTCTGTCATGGACAGACAGCAGGCTGGTGGCAAAACCAAAATCCAGATTTCAGTTCTTTATAAGTTTAAGGATGCTAAGGTTTATTAATTTACTTTGGATAAAAGAGATATGCTATGCAAGCCTGAAATAATGTGGCTTTTTACTCTGTGGATTCAGATGTACTGTGAGTAAAGTCACCTGTAGTTTCTTGAATGTGTCCAAAATATTTTGAAGTAATGTTTTGATAGAAAAAAAGAATCACTTTTGATTTGTTGACTGCAACTTGAGCCCTACTGTTGCTTAGTAGATAGTGGTTATTGATGTTTTTGTAAACATTTAAGCAACTTGAGCCCTACTGTTGCTTAGTATATAGTGGTTATAGATGTTTTTGCAACCATTTAAAAAATTGCAGAGAATCATAACATCAAAATTGGTTAACATAACCAAACTTTTTTGTTTATATTATGTCATGATTTTGTAAACATTTTTGTGCATATTTTATTACTGTTACTTATAAACGTGATTTTTACATCTTTAAAATTTTATCTGCACTTGCAGAATTTCTTATTCTTAGTTACAGCACTTAAAAATTAATTACAATAATAAGGTATTGTTTCTTTAGTTGTTTAGAAGAGAAGTTTGTGCTTTTTATGGTGGACACATTGTTACTATGGCATTCTCAATTATCTCATGCTTGAGTCAGGCTTTAAAGTAGTCTTTATTTCCCATATTATGGGTTTACCTAAATTTTAACATTGTGAGCCTTTTCTGAGCCTTACATTTATCCACGTTTGTATCATTATCTTTGTAACTACTCGACACAGAAGATTCATTTTTATACGCCATTTAGTGTAGATTGTAATGCTGTGAATTTACATTGAAACGTATCATAGCAATACATTTCCGTAAGAGAATATTATGAATAAGGTAATTGTTTTAAACTGGAACTGTGAGATAACAATTTTGAAAGGACCAAAAATATATTTTAATAATTACTATGTTGGACAAATTTTGAAAATGTTACATCATAATATGCAAAGATATAAAATCATCAGAGAAAAATTGTTAAAAATTCTAGGTAAAATCATGAAAATTTTACATGCCTCGGTGGTCTAGATCTGGGATTTGTGCAGGCCTGCATGAAACTAATGCCGATACTCTGAATGGAGGGACTGAATTAAAATATTGGGTGGTTATACTTTTGTATAGTACCACTGTTACAGATTTTAAAGGTTTATGATGTTATTTGTAGGTAATCACAGCTGGGAAGCCTTTTCAACCAAACCAGCTCCCTCCTCAAATGATCACGACCCAGAAGTCTGTGCTTCAGGGACAAGCTGGTAAGTCGTTGCTTAGTATAGAAACGTTACGAAATTCTACAATTTGAGGTGAAGTCATGTGGACTTCTGGGTTGTGGTTGTAGGTGATTATAAAACTTTTAGGGAAATGTTGGTTCCCAATTATAAGACTCATATCATTACTTGGAAAACCAGAGACTGCTCTGGGTTTTTTTATCAGTTACTGGAGGACATTCCACCAGCTGTTTACAGATTACAACAAAGCCTGTGTTTTAGTTAGAAGTAAAACATTTTATAGCATTGTTTAATTCAGTGTAGAAATGAAGGTAATTACATTAATTAAAATGTGCTTGAATGAAACCTATATTAAAGTCCATGGATTTGTTTTATGCATTTGAAATTCAGAATGGTCTGTAATAGTAAAGTCTGAAGGAAAGAACCCGCTTGTCAGATGCAGGAATATATGAGAAGATAATATTAAAATAGATTGTATTAATAAGGACTGGTGGTGTTCTGTTGAGAACACAACAATGAACCTTTGGCATCTATAAATGGTGGGAAATTTTTTCACTAGGAGAATTTAGTATTAGATTCAGAAGAAAGAATGTGGTGCATAGAATTAATTAATTCTGTACAGCAAGGCATTACATATCCTTTTGTATATTACAGCTTCGTTCCCTGGGTATGCAACGATTCCAACTACGACAAATCAGACGCTGGTAATCAGCCAGTTGGGTGTAATAAGTAACCAGCCGAGCATCTTACCTGCCCACTCTGCCAGTACAGGTGCCAAACCTACTGACATGCAGAAGGTAGATATTACTGCATCATCTCATGTTTCTAACATTAACAATTACCCGGTGTCCTACGTGAGGGATTAAATGCAAGCGGTGCGAGTTGTGTGGGTGAAGCGGAAATATCAAGTCTGAGATCAAATATTTTGATATTTTCGCGCGAGTCACTGCGCTGGCCAGTAAGGCGCATGCGCAAGAAAACTCTGACCGTGCAGTACACGGAAGGCGCATGCGCAGGAAGGCCGTGTGCTTCTATTGCAGTCTCTCACGTAGGACACAACAAGCAATTCCCCGCTTCATATGACACCCCATGCTGCTTATGCAGCTCGCATAGCTCGCTTGTTATCTCTTACGTATGACATTGCCTTAGATTAAATAACCTTTACTGCCTCCCCATTCTACTCTAATTTGAGAACTATACCCGCCTAAAATTAAATCTAAGAAAATGAAAGACTGCCTTCGTTGAAGGATTTTGTGACTCTCAAGAATGTAGAGTGGAAGGTAATGTAAAGTTACCTTAAATATGTGGAAACAACTTCAGTATTTATTGATTAATAGTCATATATTGCAGTTTGATATCATGCTTTTGAAATGAACCTGGAAAAGAACGTTCCGTTAACTTTGGAAAGTGTCGATCCCCAACACTAACAAAATATGCACAGAATATTTCAGTGGACTATTGGAAAGAGGAATTTTGAAATGTCTGCATAATTTATAGTTTATTTAGCAGTGTTTTTTCAGTAGCTCAGGTTATATAGCGTCAAATCAGAGGATGACAGTGAATTGGAAAGCATGTGGAAGGAAGCGGTGTAACCGCTCTCTTCCTTCCTTGCTGATCGCAAGGAGCTCTACTACAATGATGTTGGTTGGGATTGTTGGGATCTCTCAGGGTTTGTTGCTTAGCTCAGCTTGTCGATATGCATCGACTCGCTCTCATTCGGTGTCACGGCCAGTTCGTAACAGCCAGATTGAAAGCACGGATTGTTTGGAAGTAACACACTATTTATTTAGGACCTTCGTGATCCTTGATGTTTTACACTTTGTAGATTTTACAATCCTCACAACCACACACTGACTTCACAATTACCTCCTTTCTTAATACTGTAACTTTTAATGTAATGTATGAATCTTGAATACTGAATAATCTTGAATGCTGAATGATCTTGAATGACTCTCTCTCTGCCAGCAAAATAACCCTTTTTTATACCATAAGCACCCTTAGGGCTCCACAACCAAAATTCCCAGCTTTGCCCAAAAGGAGATGTAACATCCAGTCCTATTGGTGCGGGTCCAGGTTCAGTTTGAAGAACTTCCCCTTTCCCACCAATCTTCAGGGAGTTCCTCCCACACTTTTACTTCCAAAAGGGCCTCCCTAACTAGGGGTAAAACACACTTAGGCTAAGAGCAGGTAATTCTTGTACCAGGGAATTTCCAAGTCTGGAAATTTCTGTACATAAAGTAGTCCAACCCAAGCTTACAGTAGTTCTGAATATAAAGGAAATACAAAGGAATCATAAACTAACAAAAGAGAAAGCAGGACAATAAGTGGCTAATACAAAAACCATAAGACCTAGCACATAAATGTTGGGTTTCTTAAAAGTATAGAATTAGCATACACCAGTACAGGGATTGATGAGCAGTTACAACAGTCATGGCCTAATTTAAGGCATTGTCCTGGCATTTGCCTGGAGGGACTGATGAAAACCATGAAAACCTCAATCAGGATAACATCAAATTTGATGAAAGTACATAGACAGATGCATATTGTGAAGCTAATGGGCACATTTTTGAAGTTTATGCAATATTTTTATGGAGAAATACTTAATGTGTTGTGTGTTGAATACAACATGCCTGAAAAAGAGAAGCAATATTTGGGTAATGTGTGTGTGTGCTCACCATAAACAAGACGTGGAGTATGACCTCATCGAAACAATCATAATAATAAAACTTTTCTAACATACTGTCACCGCTGGTTCAACCAGTTTGCAAATTAGGTGGTTGGAAGTTGTTTGTTTGTACTAAGGATGATTTGTATGCACTTCTTCAATATAAGGGTTTTGTTTTTTTGTTGCCACAGTACACTACGTGTGGTGGGGGTCGCACTGTGCAACAGAGCTCGCAGCCAATGCAGTTTTCACCATGGCAGTTTGCTGGCACATCTCTTCCACAAGGAATCACATGGGCTACAGCCGCACCAGGGGGAATTCAGTCTCCCACGGCTCTCCTCACAGCTCCCAACCCGATCTTTATCCGAGGACAGCAAGATGGCACCGGCATGTTCATCCAGAGCCCACCTCCGCAGCTTCAGTCCCACAACCGTACGTCTCAAGATAGTAACACTGCTGTCTGTAATCTGAACAAATACGTTTGCGTTCCTTGACGAACGAATTGAATCTGTGCGTCTAGTTAATACTTTCTCTAAAATAGTATGGAAACCATAGGTTATCATAGAAGTTCTACGAAGCTCTACTAAACATGTTTGATTAATTGACTGATGTCACACAGTCATATTTCCGTGCATGTTTTAAATTTTTACAGAAATTGCAGGGTTAGATTAGATGTAAGAGGCAAGAGATATATCTGTAGGATATGACTTAGCTCCAGAATACTGGGAACGACCCGTTCTTCAAGTGCCTGAGCACTGCGGGTCCCAACTATTCGTTGGCTTGATCTATAGACATTCGGTGGGACTCCTTGGATGAGGGATCGGCCCGTCGCAAGGCCTCTACCTGTACACATGACAGCATAACACAGAAAAACGCAGACAAATATCCATGGATTGAGTGTGATTCGAACCCACGGGACCAATGACCAAGCGGCACAAGGCCTACATCTCAGACCGTGCAGCCACTTTGGACCCCAGCTCCAGAATGTTCATAATTATTCACAAAAAACATACTTATTTTTGTGTTGTTTTATTTGAAGAAAAATAATTTGGGAAAAAACAAGTCATCAAAGGCTAGATTCTATCCAAGGGATGTCACTAGAAGTGAGAACAAAATATTTTTATTGCAAAGGCCAGGAACAACGAGTAATGTAGGTGTTTAGGCATTTGGTTGAAATAAACTTGTAATTCATTATATGAAACTTGTAGCACCAGAAATGAACTCATATGTACGAAGTTGCACATTTCACAGCTATTAACAGTGTCTTTGAAGATCCATATTCCATACTATGTGAGGTTATGTTTAAATGAAATTATTGGCAGTTTAACTAATTTCCTGATTATCCTGGGTTGATGATTGTTACAAATAATATTAACTGAAGTTAAATGGGCACTATATTTTTTCTTCTCTCCTATTATTACTCTGCCAGATTAGTTTGGGTTATGAGGAAAATACATATGTAGGCAGTCAAAAAGTTCCCGGAATTGTGGTATAGCACTGTAATGGTATGACATATGCCAACGCTTACCTAATCTCCTTCAAAGTAGGACCCTTGCGCACAAACATGCTCCATTGATCCTGCCATTGTTGGGCGCACCGGTAAAAGGCTTCGTTTGGAATCTTCCGGAGTTCAGCTGTCGCATTCGACACATCGCTGGTTGTGCAGCAATTACTCGCCGAGAAAATCATTCCTGTCATCACACAACCACCATACTCTCTGGATCTCGCTCCGAGTGACTTCTGGCTGTTCCCTACTCTGAAAATGGGCCTCTAGGGGGCACGTTTCGCAACCATGGAGGACATCAAATTGAATGCGACGGTCGACCTCCGGAATATTCCAAACAAATCCTTCCGCTAGTGCTTCCAACAATGGCAGGATCGATGGAGCAAGTGTGTGTGCTTGCGCAAGGGTCCTACTTTGAAGGAGATTAGGTAAGCGTTGGCATATGTCATACCATTACAGTGCTATACCACAATTCTGGGAACTTTTTGACTGCCCCTCGTATATCTGTGTCAGTAAATGATGAGCTGCTGTGCTGTCATAAGCCACATGCTTGTATATATTTTTATACTAGTTTACACACACAGGTAGGGGCATTTTTGTGCTTATGTAGCATGTTTTGTAAGTTTCTGCGCTGGTTGCAATGACATCTATATGCTATGATTGTTAAGATGTTAATTTTTATAAACATGAGATGACTTCGGATAATAATCATTACAGATATAAAAATAACATTTTGTACAGTATGATTAAATGTTTTTATACAACAATAATTTAATTTTTGTGGGTACATTCCAAATGTGAAATAAAATGATTTTATGGATCATACTTTTACATATCAGGGAAGGGATTAAGAACTGATGGTTTGGAGTTGTGAACTGTTTAGTTGTAACATACAAATTAATAAGCTTTTCTGGATTAGTGTTCCTTGATCAATTCTGTGAAGTCATGTTAGAGCTACAATTGTGCATTGTATTTACAGCTGCACTGGCAACGCAAGCAGCAATGCCTAGTGTACAGCAGATGACAGGTAAACCAAGGCAAACCATGGAGATGCCAACCAACATCCAACCAAAGGCAGCTGTTCCACGAGCTCTGTCCAGTATCCTGCCATCTATGTCTGGTTCCCCCATCCGCCCAGCCAGCTCTGTCTCTACTCAGACTGGCGGTTCTGCGCAGATGAATGCCACCTCGACTCAAGTACAAACACAGAAGTCGCAAACCAAGGTTTGTTAATCGACGCATTTATTGCTAGGCATTTAAATCAAGGTTGTAATTAATCCCAGGGCTTAAATTTCACATATGCTGTCTGGGAAAAGAAAATTATATTTTCCAAATTTTGGAAAAGAAAAGAAATGAAAATTTTAAATTAAAATCTGATAGACTGGGAATGGGGTACTGTGCTGTCAGGATGCAGAACAACTCCACACCAACTAACTAACTAACTAGATGGCTTATCGAACCCGAAGGTTCATCACCGACTTAACCAAAGCCCTCCACCGGACCCTGTCATGGGCCAATAAAATCCAGTTGCCTTCAGCTTCTATCTCTCATAGATCCTGCTTGATATTATCCTCCCATCTTTGTTTAGGTCTCCCCAGTGGTCTCTTCCCTTCAGGCTTTCCAACCAATACCCGGTGGACACACCTTGTCCCATCCCACAACTCCACACAGAATACAAAAAATATTTGTTTTTCTCATGATCTTTTTTAAGATTGAAATTGAAATTTGGTTTTGGGGTTATGGTATTGTGTTTAGCAGCCTTTATTAATGAAATGTCACTCTTCCTGTGTAGTTTACAGATTATGAACTTAGTAGAAATGTTTGATTTTCATATGAGAGAAAGTATCGCAGAGGGTAAAATAATAAAACCTGCAACTTCAGTCTTTCCCTTGTGAAATGCCCAGTGACCTGTCACTGGGCCTCATTGCTGTGGGGTCTCCAGGAATCATTACACTGCCATCTCAGTGATGGTGTCGGGTTCGGGTACCATTACAATCTCTGGTTGCTGCATGTCAAGTTTCTTCTCTGGGTAGAGTGAGTTCAAGTTAGATCTCTTGGGAAATACAGTAACACAAAATGTGAATCTGCATAATACAGCGTGTTTCAAAAGTAGCTTTACAACTTGAGGGTGAGATATTGGTGAACTGATAGGAGAAACATATAATTTCAGAACATAGAAATGTAGTCAAACACTTCAAGTTTTATGCCCATCAGATTTTTATGGTTCAATGTGACTTCCATTTGTTATGCGGCAGACATCCCATCTGTAGTCAGTATCTTGCCACACGCGGTGTAGCATCTCCGGTGTCACTTCAGCAACTGTGGCGGTAATTCGAGTTCAGAGTTTGGCCAGATTTGCAGGTAAGAGTGGCACGTATACTTGATCTTAACAAATCCCCACAAGAAAAAATCTAAACGTGTTAGATCGGGGGAACGAAGTGGCCGTGCTGTTGGTGCGATCCGACCAATCCACCGACCTGGGAAACCGTTGTTGAGGTACTCGCGCACTTCTCTGAGGTAATGAGGGGGTGCACCGGCTTGCTGGAAGTGAATGCGTCCTTCCTGGTCAAGTTGAGGAATGAGGAACTGTTGGAGCATGTCCAGATACACAATGCCGGTAATGGTCTCCTCCATGAAAAAGAAGGGGCCCTACACTTTATCTTTGCTGAGGGCGCAAAACACATTAACTTTTGGACTGTCACGAACATGTTCAATGAAACTTGATGTGTTTGGCTAAATTTGTGCATTTAAAAATATTGCGCACGTCTTTTAAATAAATTTATATTCTCCTGCAAAGTTGTAAAGCTACTTTTGAAACACGGTGTATTTGCACTGACAAAATTGGATTAGATTTGTACACAAGAAGAGACCAAGTGCTTATAAAGTGTATGTTTGTTAGTCTTAAACACAGAAACTGCTGTAAAATACCAGATATATATATATTTTTTTTTTTGCAGTTTGAACTGTATTTAGAAACTGTTGCTTAACGATTTATGCTGAGATCCTTCGTTACATCTCCCAAACTAGAACACCACACGGGTTAACTCTAACTGCGAAGTTTTTAAATGTGCCTGATCATTCCTGTTATAAATGCTCTTGTACATTGTAGGAGGTTTAGTGCCAGGTAGTCGGGGTTCCACCTGCTTACTGTCTGGCAAGAATGAACTTTGTAGTTCATGGTATTTGAACTTCTGGGCTGTCTAGACCAGTGGTCCCCAACGCGGTGCCTGTGGGCGCAAAGGATTTTTCTGGGTGCCCGCGTTGTTACGGAAAGAGGTTATACTGAATAATGAAGGCCGTTCAACCACGAACATTATAAAATTAAAGCACAGATCTTGACTTACTGACACCCATCTTGATGATTGTTTGCGAGCAGCATCATCCTACACTCCCAAATTTGAAAAACTGGCCGATGAAATGCAGCGCCAAACATCACACTAACTTCCCACTTGAGTAATAATAATTGTACTTATAAAACTATGTATTTTTGATTGCATGGTTTCTTGTATCATTAAATGTCGTGTTGTTTTGTGTATTATTTGGGGTCCATATCTTATTTGTCCAGAGAAAAGAAAATTTGGCTTTGTTAATTGGTCGGTGCCCGCCACGATCTCATAAACTCCCAAATGTGCCCGTAGGCACAAAAAGGTTGGGGACCACTGGCCTAGAGTATGGGGGTAGACTTTTTACTTTTATGATCAGTATAATCACGCCTAGACCACTGCCTCCATGGCATCCCAACAATAACTCCATTCACACACAGAAGAAGGCAATGGCAAACCACTTCTGGATCATCTGCCAAGAACGTATATGAACAAGTCCCAGTCCGAGAAAAGGATGGAAGGATCCTGTTCATATGGACCTGTCATCAGACAGAACACTAAATAATATAATAAAATATAATCACGCCATGGGCACAGTTACAAAAATGAAAGATACACTTGGGCTTCGTCTTTGGTGTGCCTGGCCGTGTAGTTACATCATCTGAATTTTCTGCTGGTATGTTCTGCGAGTATTCCATTCTTTCTGCATCCATGTCTGTATAAAAATTTAACCACTGCGTCTGTCTAGGGTGTGCTGTATCTGTAGTTTTATATCGGTCGAATAGAATTTAGTGGTCGGGGCATTGAGACATGGTATTCTAATATGAATCGTGCTATGTTGGCGTGTGGATTATAAATTTAAAGTGAGAAGCATATATGATTTTAAGCTTTTAAAATCTTCTCGGGCAGCCATCCACGTCAATATGGATCTGTACTACAACATTTCAGAGACCTCCTCTGTCTCCATCATCAGGGAATGATGTGATGTGTGATCACGGTTATTTATATACAAACTTATTACCCCTTCCTGTATGGCCGTTGATAAATGGGGATTGAATACAAAGTCATCATTGAAACCATTTGCTCCTGCACCTGTCAGAGCGACCCAGTCCATGCTGTCTAAGAGCAGTAAGTCATCCAACTTTGATTAGGAAATTGCATCATCATCACCAGTGGAAATCCAACTGGTCTCCAACCAGTCTGTGTTTTTTAACACCATCTCTGGCTGTCTTGCGACCATATCACATCTGGGCACGTCAAAAGACTTATTCACCAATATAAATCTTAAAGTGTTGCTTGACATCTGAAAAAGAAACAGCGAGTGTATGGCTGTTGTGTGATGTGTTAGTAAGGAATAAAATTGTTTGTTAGATACAGTTTTATCTCTGGCTCTCTTTTTAATCTTTGATATAATAGCATCAACTCGAGTGTATGTTTGCCCTAGGATTTTCTGCTTTAAACATTGTTTGTTTGTTTTTTGTTACAAAAGTTACTTGGATAACTAACAGTCATTTTGATTTTCAGGTACGAACAAAAGTTTCTGTGCATCGCACGTCTCCTGCTCTGGGGAATGCCACGCAGAAAGCCGATGCCGCCAACCAAACCAAACCTCAGGCAGTAAGTCCTGCATCTCAGGCCCAACAGATGGCTGGCACAAAGTGAGTGCACAGTTTGCAGGTTTTTATAACTGTTTTGGTATAAAATGAAAGAATGTTTTTAACCACCAGACATCTCACAGCTTGATCATAAAACTGAACATTTTGTTATATAGCTTCTGTGGATTGTGTCAAGTGATGATCTGCAGTTTTCAGCTACTGATACATGGGCCCTTAATTGTAATATTCCACAGCATATCTGACCACAGTTATGTTGGAAATCGCTGATTGAGGTAAACTTGATATACACAGAGTTTTAGGGCTCTTTTTTCCTGTCTTTGGTTGTCTTCTAGAGATCGGTTTTAAGTATGCTGAAATATAATTTGCATCACTTTTTACTTCTTATATTAGTAGCTGTGATAAACTTAAAGCCCTTGAACACTAATCCTGTCTGTACTAGTTTTTTTTTCATATCCAGTACACACCATTCAGCATGGTGTGCATTGGTGGTTAGCAGGATTCATGACCCATCAGGACATGAGTTTGATCGGGACCGTGACATTTAAAGCTCCTGCTGTTACCCCTTTTTGCGAGATGATGATGAAAGTGGAGTAATTGTTGGGATGCCACGGAGAAACCGGGGAAATCCCGGAGGAAAACTCTGTGATTCCTAGACCAGTGGTCTTCAACCTTTTAACACCAGCGGCCCGGCGAAAATAGGAGAAATATTTCGTGGACCGGCGTCAGCCAGAAATAACAACCAATGTAGATAGAATTTTATTTATTAAATCTAATGTTATAAAATTATAATTGTTGGTTAGTGCGACATCTGCTGCTGCTTCTTTGTAAGCAAATTTGATATACGTGGTTGCAGCGTTGTTTCTGAGAGACGAAGCGCTGCATTAACATCAATTCGATTTTTCTGTTTGGTTTTTATTACTGACATAGCTGAAAAAGTCTTTTCACACACATAGGAAGTCGAAAAAACGACCAAAAATTTGATAGCTTTATAACTCAGAGATGGATATTCTTTATCGAGAGATATCCAAAATTGAGGCAATGATTGCATTTTATGTCTGGACACCAGAGTGACATCAGAAGACAACTCGATCAGTTTTTCTTTCTCACAAAGATCAAGTGCGCATGATTTTATATCTTCCAAAAAGGGATTATTAATCCAGAGGTTACCTTTACGTGGATCTTCATTTTCAGGGAAATAATTATTAAAGTTTTCAGCTAACGCTCTTAAATGTTGGCTTATTATGTTGAATATGACTTTCTGGTTGATATCAGCAGCATTCAAAAATTCTCCCATAAGTGGAAACATTTCTATATCTTCCTATTGTACGCGACTATCCCAAAGAGCCAGCTTCTTTTTGAACGCATCCATTTTATTTCTTAGTGTAAAAATATTCATACAAGACCCCTGAAGAGAAATATTAAGTTGTAAATATGAGCACCGCCGGGAATCGAGACCGGGACCCCAGTATTACAAGCCCAGCGTTCTAACCGCTAGACCACCGTGGCAGTGTCTGTACTAGTGTTGTAATTTAATGATTCACGTGTAGCAGAGCGTGTTGCATTGCACCTGGCAAACAGCTGTTGGTCGGTGCTGTTTTTAGGCTTAAACCGATGAGTCGTGATCTGAGCTGCCAACTTGCAGGGCTGAGTGTTTGGTACTCAAGGGGTCTAATGCTGTCTCCTCTCACTGATGTCAAAAGGAAAATGAAAGAAACATTATGAATGGGAAGAAATGATGCTCCTGAAATGGCATTGTATTATTTATATGTCCTGCAGTGTACAATGACATAATTAGCATGATTTTATCATTGTCTCAAGCATTTTGAGAATTATTCTGTGTTGCCTTGTATGATAGTTTAAATTGGGTATAGAAGATTGAGAAGAGATGAAAATTCAAATGTAATGTAACCAAATTTACTTACCTCTCTTGCTTTGTATTTGAGAGATTCCAGATTCAAAGCTCAGTCCAGAGACTGGCTGACCTCATTGAAATTTTTTGTTGTTTTCCTCAATTGCTCAAGGCAAATACTGTGATAGTACGTTAAATTATGCCACAACCATGTCCTTCTGTGCATTCCCATCCAATGTCCTATTGTTCAGTGATGTATAATGTGAGGTACTGACAGCTTTATTACATTAACCAGAAGTAAAGTTTATTTACTTACTGGTACCTCATTGTGTAGATGTAATTAGTTACCATAAGGAATCTTTCAGCTAACTAAAATATATAAGAGGCAGTTTGAACCTTTTAATTTGTCTGAATTAATACATGTTGAATCATGATTTAAAAGAAGATCTCTTTCTTTTCATGCTGCCATAAATATGGACTTCTTGCACTGTAAGCAAATATGATAAGAAATTTGTAAGATTTGAGGTTTTCATAGCGGTGAGTATGAAGATTTCTGTCTTCAGGGTTGTTGCGCTGTGTAGTCTGGTCGATGTTAACCAATGTTTCAGAGGTCATACTGCCTCACTGAATGAACTCATCGCCCTGATAACGGAGGCAGTATGACCTCCGAAACGTTGGTTAACATCGACCAGACTACACAGTGCAACAACCCAGAAGGCAGAAATCTTCATACTCATCGCCCTGATGACTGAGGCAGTATGACCTCTGAAACGTTGGTTAACATCGACCAGACACCACAGCGCAACAACCCAGAAGACAGAAATATTCATACTCATCGTCCTAATGATGGAGGCAGTATGACCTCTGAAACGTTGGTTAACATCGACCAGACACCACAGCGCAACAACCCAGAAGACAGAAATATTCATACTCATCGCCCTGTGACGGAGGCAGGAGGCAGTATGACCTCTGAATTGTTGGTTAACATCGACCAGACTACACAGTGCAACAACCCAGAAGACAGAAATCTTCATAACAAATTTGCTTACTGAAGATAAAGTCATTGTTAATAATGTGTTATTGAGATGAAGAGTGCAACAGTGGATAGAGTAAACAAGATAGATATTGTGCACGACTGATTGGTTGTTGTAGAGGCACCTGTTACCATTTCTGAGGTTCGTGCTTTTATAGTTAAGGCAGTGACGTCGTGGTGTATGTGTGAGCAAGCTGGTGCCTTACTGTACTCTTATTGCAGTAACTATCGAGTAGACATAAACATAAGCCAAGCAAGTAGCAATGAAATGCAGATCTCCTAATGCCTGAAAATGATCTCTCCCTAAAGCATTTTTCACACAAAGTCTGTTTTCCACAGTTGAAAAAGAGGCAGTCTAGAAACCATTCTTTGAGACATCAAAGTATCTTGTGGAGAGATAATCCGTGTTTTATCTTCGGTTAATGTAGACCAGAAGCAAGACCAAATGGTAAATTCTTCTAAGGATGATTTCACAACAGAATTTCAACCACTATGCTTGCTATCCTGAATTAATGTGGGTTTTAAAATTGTCTGAATTATTATGCTCTGAAGTTACTGAATACTTTATACACTATCTGCCTGAAGCTGTTTGCTTCATGAGGGCATGTGACAGTGGATGCGCAGAAGTATCCGAAACTTGACCACTGTTCTTGTCAGTCTGAAGTTATTCCAAGTAAAATACAGGTTTCATTTTGTGTGAATTTTTTTTTTAAATAAACCCTTTTACTCTTGTGCATGTAGAATTCCCTTGCCATAAGCTGCTGATAAGAATTTTTCAATGGAAAAGAACTTTAGAAGCTCATAAATCCTTACCAGGAGAATGTATTTAGATGTGGTTATATCGATGATGTTCTGGGTTTTGGTTGTGCGTTGACTCGTCATTAGATGCCAGTGTTTTAGAGAAGCATACTGTCTCTATCATCAGGACCGAGGATATAGATGGCATGTTTCTCAGAAATGTTGGCCTTTCCTGACAAATCTACGCGGTGCCACAACCCAGAACAGCATCATATCATTCTCACCACTGTGACAACTTCTAATCTGAAATAATTTTGTTGTTTTGTGTTGCACTAGGATTATCATAACCAGTACAGGCACTGCTGTCTCAGTGGGTACCACTACATCAGTAGCAGCAGGCTCTCCTGTTTTGGCAGAGAAATTGCAGCAGACTGGTGTCACTCAGAGCAACAAGAGTATGCAACAGCAACCAGGAACATTACAACAACAACCTCAACAGCAGATGCAACAGCAACAGATGCAACAACAGCCACAGATGCAGCATTTTCAACAACAGCTGCAACCGCAGAGCCAGTCCCAGGCTCAACAGGCACAAGCACAGCAACAGAAACCTATCATGGGTGAGTACGACACTTGAGAGATCGCATTATTGGTACTGGATACTGGGAATGACCCGTTCTTCAAGTGCCTGAGCACTGTGGGTCCCAACTTTTTTGTTGGCTTGATCTATAGACATTCGGTAGGACTCCTTGGATGAGGGATCAGCCCGTCGCAAGGCCTCTACCTGTACACAGGACAGCACAACACAGAAAAACGCGGACAAACATCCATGGCTTGAGTGGGATTCGAACCCACGATCCCAGCGACCAAGTAGCACAAAGCCCACGCCTTAGACTGTGCGGCCACTGTGAGATCGCATTGTACTGAGAAAAATATATTCTTAACAATTAAAGCAGACTCTTGGAAGACCGAAGAGAATTTATATTGTTGTGTATACTGGCACACAAAACAATCTTTTGAGCTTATATTCCCCAAAAGTAGGGGCCATCTTGTACATGAAGCATAAAATGTAAACCTGAAGTCTTTAAATCCTTGGGACTGAGCCATGCCTCATGGCTCGAAGTGGCCTATCTCCTCCTCTCTACGTTCTTTGGAGCCGGTGGCTTCAAGGCCCTGTTGAGCCAGCAGGGCAGACCAGTCTGTGTGTGTCAGCCGGGCAGAGGAGGAGTCATATAGATCTGTTTCTTTTTCCATCTCTTCAAAGCAAGGAGTCGTAACCCCGACTGGAGCCTGAGTTTTGGGGTTGATTGATTACCATTTGTATGTTCTTTTTAAAAAATACTTATATTTTTCTTTATATACTTTTGTAATTTTTGGTGTGTATTTATTTGGTATTTTGGGGTTCAGGATTATGAAATTCATGGACTTAATCCTACTTGACATTAGCAGTTGCTGTGCATCACATATCCCTCACTGTAATTATTTTTGATTGTATCTCCTGTTTGATATATGTAATTAATATCTTATTCTTTGGCTCTAAACCCATTGTGGATGTTAGCAGACTCCATTTGGAGGTTTCTTACTCTTTGAAGTCTGCAAGCCATTCACAACAGCTGACATTGTGTCAACAAATACCAGAATTAAACAGCAATCCAGACAACTACCAGTGTGACATTGAGACCATTAATATTCTGTGACTGGCCTGTTGATGTCTGCTAAGCCAGTCAAAACAAGCCTTAGTCAATGGCCAAATCTTTAGAATCTTGTAGCAGACATGATCATTACAATAAAAGGAAATGCAATACATATTTTTGCACTCAGTTCTGCTAAATCAGACCAGGATTCAAGTTGTCTTATCTGGCAAATACAGTTAGAAACTTAAATTGAAAATTTGGGAATTGTTTTGTGGACCAAGTCATCTTGTACCTCAGTCTATATGGTGATTGGTTATTGTCTGTATTGTGTTTAGTGTAGTTTTAAACATATGATACTGATGTGTAACTCTGTGCTAGCCTGCCCTTGAGGTTTGGCTGTGTTATAAGCTTGGTCGAGTCTACTCGTACGTATGCACCATTCAGGGGGTGTGCAGGTCAGTGTGCTGTTAGCTAGGGAGGTTGAGTTTTCAGATTTTTTTCACTGTGGTACCAGGAATCATAGGGAAGTCAGTTGACATTCCATTTTTTCAAATTATGAATACAGCAAATCAGTTCAGGTAGGTGGAGTAACAGTAAATATCATTTGTAATAGCGTACTATATTGGTGCTGTGGCTGGTGATAATTAAAAGTTTATGTTTTTCATAAGATGTTCACTGCTGTGCCACTATCACTTATCTTGCCATTGTATCACCACCACCCACCCTGCCTCCTGTCCAGTGGTTACTGGGTTCCTTTCCCTCGGAATACAGCGTGTCCAGGGTGTGACGCCAACCACTCACCCCTGTATAGTGCCGAGGTTGAAATTGAGTACAAACTACCCCCTCTCTTTCTGAGTGCCCACATGGCTTTTAGGAGGGTGGCTTTACTTTTTTTTTTTGCTCTTCCAGGCATAACAACAATACAAGCACAGACGGTCCAAGTTCCAGGACCGCCAGTTGTCCAGCAGCAAATAACGCAGCAAGCAACAGCTGTAACTGTTGGCGCACCTGTGCAACAAATGGGTGCAACTCCACCAGCAGAGCGCCCCATAATGCCTGTGGTGTCAATGGCTCCTGCTCCTCCACCCCCGCCCCTTCAGTCAACCCACCCCATTCCACCCAACATACAGCCGTGTCCTCCATTAGTTCCAACTGCTGGTACAAATTCAAACATGATTGTGCCGTCAGCTGTACCACAAATCCAGACAGTGTCACCCCAACAACATTCATCCCAGATGCAGCCTCAGCTCCAAACTCAGGTAATTACTGTCAAAGAAGAATTTGGTCTGCTGTCCACCTCCCCCCTTTTTTGTTGTTGAGAAAATGTGAATACAAAAATGCAGTTTGTTCACTGATAAATCTGATCTCAGATGCCAATTCCCAGCTTCTGGCAGGAACTGCTATGATGTAGGTAAGTTGATTTTGTTTCTGTGGAGCATAATTTGATTCACAATGGGAAAATATGGTTGTGAGGCATGCAGCTCCAGCCAGGGCCAGGAAGTGGCAGTTGTTCCAGTTTGTTGGTGATACTGTTCCTTTGGCTTTGAAGATATCAGTTTTAATGTTCTGGGTTGGGTGCTGCGTAGTCTTGTGGGTGACGACCATCATTTTGGAGGAACGTATTATTTGTGTATTACTTCCGACCTTCAAGACTACATGGCATCATGAGCCATGTCATGTGAAGTTTTCCACTTCATGTTGAGTCTCAAGAACTATAAGTCATTCTTAGTAGTTTTAAAGCATTTATGTAAAAGTTTGCATTCATATAGATGCTGCACCTAATTTTCAGGTAGAAAATTATGTAAATAATAATTAATTTATATGCTACATCCTGGTTTTAAGTTAATTTTCTCTTAATTTATACTCACATTTAAAAAATATGTATCCTCAAATGTAGTAGTATACTTATATCATCAATACTTTCATAAATTTTTCCCCACTTGCACCTGCACTCAAAAATTGTCATAGCTTCATAACAGTTTGCAAAAAGGGCTAATGTTGTATTAAAATTTCATGCTCAAGATTACCAACTAGAGTCCCCTATATTACAATTCCCCTGATGTATGGCGAAGTGGTTGTGAAACATTCTGTATACAGGCATACCTAGGAGATACTGCGGGTTCGGTTCCAGACCACCGCAATAAAGTGAGACATGAATTTTTTGGTTTCCCAGTGCATACAAAAGTTATGTTTACGCTATACTGTAGTCTATTAAGTGTGCAATAGCAATATGTCTAAAAAAACAATGCGAGAATTACCAAAATGTGACACAGAGACATGAAGTGAGCACATGCTTTTTGAAAAATGGCATCGATAGACTTGCTTGTCGCAGGGTTGCCACGAACCTTCAATTTGTAAAAAACGCAATATCTGTGAAGCACAATAAAACGAGGTATGCCTTTAATAATAAAGTGCAAACTTATTAGGAAGAATAGTTAAGTATATAATATATGAACTAAGACAAAACCACACAGGTTTCTTATTCTAGTAATATATTGTAAGATTTGAAGTTTTCACAGCGGTGAGTATGAAGATTTCTGTCTTCTGGGTTGTTGCACTGTGTTGTATGGTTGATGTGTACCAATGTTCTGAATTCATCGCCCTGATAACGGAGGCAATATGACCTCAGAAACATTGGTAAACATCGACCAGACTACACAGCGCAACAACCCAGAAGACAGAAATCTTCTAGTAATATATTGTCATTTTTGTAGTAGCTTGGAATAGATATTTCTGTATGCCATAACTAGTGCGAAGGTGCATGATATGGCATGCATTAAACAGTCCAAAGAAGTGTCATAGAATGCCATTTTGTAGCAGGTACAGTGTACAACTGTGCCAGTTGGTTCAATGGGCACACAGACGTCTCGCGACGATACATTAAGCAAAGGGATGGAAGATCAGACTTCACAGGGCTCTGGTATCACGGCCTCGACTCCTTCACAGGCAACACCAATGGACATACAAGAAATTCCTGATGTAGATGGTAAGGATCTGTAATATATATATAATTTTTAATCCTATGAGGTTAAACTGCAATACAGAGTTGATTAGTTGCTTGTTAGGTTTGAAGTGAACTGGTTATTCACATCTGTCAACACAATGTTTGAAGATCTCGCTGTGACTAAGAACGATAACAAAATCTTTTCAGAATATACATAAGATTTCGATGATTGAGGCAGATGGTATTCTGCTCTGAATCGGTGAAGCTGATTGTCTGAGAAGATTTTATCAGGACTGTCGAATGATTAATCAAAATAATTATATCCTCTGTTAAACCAAGTCATCTTGAACCATCGGTAGTTGCATTTCTTCCACTACAGATGTTCTAGTTATGCCACTATAATACAGTCAATCACAACACAATAGACGAGTGGTCCCCAATCTTTTTGTGCCTATGGGCACATTAGAGAGTTTATGAGATCGTGGCAGGCACCAACCAATTAACAAAGCCAAATTTTCTTTTCTCTGGACAAATACAATATGGACACGACGTTTAATGATACAAGAAACCACGCTATCAAAAATACATAGTTTCATAAGTACAATTATTATTACTCAAGGGGAAGTTAGTGTGATGTTTGGCACTGCATTTCATCGGCCAGTTTTTCAAATTTGGGAGTGTAGGATGATGTTACTGCTCGCAAACAATCGTCAAGATGGGCGTTAGTAAGTAGAGATCTGCGCTTTGATTTTATAATGTTCGTGGTTGAACGGCCTTCATTATTCAGTATAACCTCTTTCCGTAACAACGCGGGCACCCAAAAAAAGGTTTGGCGGGCGCCCGGGGGCACTGCTTTGGGGACCACTGCAATAGAGTGACTTTTAAGATACGTGTTTTATTCTTGGTAATACCAGCATTCATGTTTTGCTTTTTAGAGATCTTTATAATACTGTACTGCTTGTGTAACTTATTTATAATGTGTGCAGAGCATAATGACGTTCCTCTGAACTATGTTGCAGGCTCGCAAGGCACTGGGAATGGTAGCATCTCAGGTAAGGAAGAGAAGGCAGTGAATGGGTGTGCAGAAACATGCTCCTCAACAAATGTGGTGGAGAATGGGGTCGTGGTAGAAGAGATCCGCAGCGAGAGGGAACGGGATAAGAACCCACCGAAAGCCATGGTGAAACCACAGGTCCTCACGCATGTAATAGAGGGATTCGTAATTCAGGAAGGTACAGTGTTATGATCTACTTATTTGTTCTTAATAGAGACACATCTTGCATGCTTTACTCCATGTTAGTTAGCGTCATAAATGTCAGTGTAGAATATGGTTTATAACAAATATAGTAATTAATTGATTGATTGAGAGAATGATTGATAAATTATTTTAAAGTAAACTAATTACACTGGTTGTCAGTGATTATCAACGCATTGAACGAATTCATTCAAAGTTTGCAAAAGGAAATTCAGTAAAACTCTGTTGTAATCAGTATGACATATAAGAATAAGTCAATTTCTGTGACTGTTTTTTGACCCCTGATGTAATGAGGACACTTTTGTTATTTTCCAATGTAATGAGTGCTTTTTACTGATCCAGCATTCTGTCCAATGTGGTACCAGATCCTTTCCTGGTGTAAAGCACAGTTGGGGCATGATGCTGACTACTTACCCCTGCTTAATGCCGAGGTCAAAAATGAGTAGGAACTATACTGCCTCTCCCCACAAGCGACCTACATAGCATGTAGTGGGAATGCTTTACTTTAATTGTATGTTGTTCCAGATTGATGTAGTAATAAGATAGTAAGTTAAGAGTGTTTCAGATAATCTACATTTGTATGATGTGACGTCTTCAAACAACCATCGGACCATAAGTCTGTCAGTGAATATCTATACGTCACACACATATGAGCTGCTGCTATAATCTCCGGTGAACTACGAGGGCGCTGCACGCAAATGATCGAAGTTGCAGATTTGTGCGTTTAACGATCTGAAATTGCGAAAAAGAGAACACCAAATATCAACCTGTAACTTTGTGAATTTTAATCGGACCACAGTGTAACCTTAAACTAGGCATTATCTGACTCTAAAGAACGTTTTTATGAAGAATGGAAACGTATCGCCTTAGGTTTATGAACCACTCATTCTTGCATTTTGAGAAATTTCGGTAATGCAGTTGCAAACAGAACATTCGCTTAATACATTGTAGTGGACAGTGAAGCTACTTCCATATTATGTCACTTATGTAAATGTTTGCTGGGCATACTATTTACAAGTCAGATTTAATTTCTGGAAATTTTATAATAGCTAAATGAAAAGTCGTATGCTTAGTAAAAGTGTAAAACTGTTTTTATTGGAAATTTGGAAATTTAAGAAGGTATAACTTGAAACAGTTCTTGTGTAATGGCCGCAGTGTAGAATAAACCATGACGTCATAATCCTTGTTGTGAGTTGTGAATGTAATTGCCGAGGTTAAGCATTGTTACAGGTTCAATTCTGGCAAGTTTTTCACTTGTATATAATTTTTTTAGGGTGGGGGGGGATAAACTCCTGTCAGAGCATTATGGGATATATTTTCAAGCCACTGTGAAATGTAGTTTTATTTCTTTTCAGCTTCTGAGCCATTTGCCGTGAATAGGTCCTCTCTTCTTAATGACCTGGTCCAAGGATCGAAGCCACACAACCAACAGCTGTCTGACAAAGAAAACCAGCAGATTGGAGATGGGGATGAGCCTCCAAGTATGTTCAAAAGCATGCGTAGAAAATGAAGTTGAAACTCTAGTGAATTGCTCAGTTGATAGTGACATGTTTTACGATTAGAATTTATTGTTTTTTTTTTCTCACAGATTAGTTATCTTAGTTTGGTTTTCATTAATTTGACTTGTGTATTATCACATGTTTTCAGTAGATGTGTAATTGACATGTTACTGATTACATAGTGTTGTCATTTTATTTTTGCTTCTTGGCTCCAGATTCTGCCACTTCATAGACACCATTACAATAGCGCTGTGTAAAAATAGCATAATGTACCATTTCAAAATTATTACCATAATGGGCTTGTTCTGATTTCTGTGTATCTAATAGGACAGTTGAGGGAAATGTTTATTTCATAGGTTTTTTTAGGATGGAGTTTGTTGAAGGGGGAAGAGTACTTAAGTAATGTTCTTTTTTGGCTGTCAGATAGATGCAACTTGTTTTGAGACGCCAGTTAAAATTGAGAACAGATTATGTAAATCTTAGAATTGCGCAGAATTTATGTAGGAACATGTCAACAAAAGGAAAGGAGATAAATGAACCATTTACTTTGAGTAAGCATTATTTATTAAGTTATTTGAGGTTTTAGTAACCACAGTATGGGTTGATTTGGTTAAAAATATGTTCTAACAATCATGATCTAATGAAATACTAGTCTAAACTGCAGTCCACAGACCAGGAGAAAATCCCTGCTAGGAATTTGATATACGCGCATGCGCAAGATTTCGTGGTGAGTGACGACCCATCCTAAAAGCATTCGTTCCACAGCCACTGAAAGAACAACAAACAACAGGCTTTCATGTGTTTTAATGGGTACAGCTTTAAGATTACCTCACAGTGGCACTGTGATTTAATCTAGAATATTATCGCAACACCCACAGAACACAGTACAGACGCACTCACTACACACTACCCGAAGGTTCATCACCGAATTAACCAAAGCCCTCCACCGGACCCTGTCCTGGGCCAACAAAATCCAGTTTCCTTCAACTCCCATCTCCCATAGATCCCACCTGACATTATCCTCCCATCTACGTCTAGGTCTCCCCAGTGGTCTCTTCCCCTCAGGCTTCCCAACCAATACCCAGTGCACACCTCTTGTCCCATCCATGCGCGCTACATGCCCC